AACACACCCTTGCCTTGATCCCAAAATAATTGATGATGACCCCCTCTGCATCAGAAATTTTTCAGGCGCCCCTCCCCTTGTATCCCAAAAAAAAAAAAAAAAAAAAAAAAAAAAAAGATAAAAAGAAAACGAAAATGAAAAAACCGAAAAAGAAAGGTCGAAGAAAAAAATTAAACCATGACTGCTCACCTTGAATCAAATAGAAGTTTTGTCGCGCTTTTCTCCCTCTCTCCCTCAAATAGTTTTTGCCTGGGCCCCCCTTTGAAGCCATTTTTTTGGCATGCCCCCCGTCAAATCCCACCAGCCTCCCCACTACCTGATAAAAAATGAACAGTCCCTTATTACATTTAAGGGCAAAGGTTATTACATTTAGGGCAAAATGTTGTTACATTTAGGGTCGTTTATCACTTTAGGCCTTCTACATGATGTAAGTTTCCCAGTGCATCCACCAGAGCTCAGACAGGGTCCCCTGGCGTCTTTCTCAACTTTAAAACAAGTGGACATAGTCGCGAACAAGTTAGAAAGGGACTGAAGCCTCACTGTCTTTTCATTGGCTATTTCATTGCCGTCATCGTTATCGTCAGGTCCCTATTGGCTGAATTGTCTGGTCAATCGACCAGTCGCCTCACCTGTAACCGCAAGCAAACAACTTGAGATTGATGAGCGGTTTCCCCAAGGTCCGAACAAGAGAGGCCGGCTCAGCCAGTTTGAGCACACATTACTTTTTATCGTCCTATCTTGTAACATATATCCTCGTGACATTGTACAATCGATAAGCCGCAATCTTGGACAGCAAACCCCCAACTCCCCAAAGCACTGAAGGATGTGGCAGTTCACAGTCCCCTATTTTTTGTAAGATCGCCGGGATTGAGCGCTTTTAAGGGACCGTGCGACGGGGTTTATAGTGGCGGATCGAAGGAGGCAAGAAAAATAGAGGGACTGTCTTAACATCTTCACAGCGACAGTCCCTCTGTTTTTCTCTTTTCCTCCCAAACCTTTCCCTGTCCTCTAAGTAGATTTGACACTGCAAGATGGTCGCCCGTAACGCAAAGTCTTCGATCTCGACCGACGACGATCTTACGAAAAAATAGGGGACTGTGAACAGTCTATGAAGGATGAAACCGTGCAAAGGGCAAAACGAACCATGTTTTAGGGGGAGTGGGGTGGGGGTCTAAATTTAAGCGACGACTTTTCTGTTCACCAAGGGTGGTCGCTTACGAGAGACCCGCATTTGGAACAGATTTCTCTATCTCTAGATCGATGTCGCATATAAGTAGTCATCTTGAAACAACAAACCGCTAAGGATTACACGTGGGGCGCAAAATACGAGCGAATACGATCGAAGCGGCGAGTTGCCACAACCTCGTCTCCATAGACTGCAAAACAGTCGATTTTTTTCTCAATATCAGTAAAGAAATCGGTAAAGCGTGGCTTAAGAGTCTTACGCGCGCGAAGCGCGCGAGCCTCACAAGCCCGTAGGGCGTGTGAGGCGAGACCTTTTGTTTGACTGCTCGCGCGTACTTGAATACGCAAAAATACGGACTGTTTTGCAGTCTAGCTTTTCCTTGGCTTTGGAGGGAAAAGCACCCTGGGAACGAGGTAGTGTATGGTGTATATATACTGTTTAATGATATATTGCAGTTACAGTTCTTTTCAACATTTTCTAGTTTGCTATTCCATCAAGAGCTCCTGATTCCACCAAGTGCCAAAGATACAATGAGCGAATGAACTAAAAATGAATGAATGAATGAACTCAAGATTTATGACGATGCTTTTTAAACGACGCATGGTAATGTCCAATGGTTGATGATAATGTCTGTGCCATCATTAAAAAAAGCTGTATTTTGAATTTGTTTGTGTTTTAAAATGGTCTCTTTTAGGGGTCGAATAAGGTTGGGCCACGCCAAAATTGGTCTTCTTTAAAGGTTAAATTCAAAATTTCCTTTCATATGGGAGTGTCCCTCGGGGACTGGGCAACTCCAGTCCAAGGCTGGCCCAGCTGGCCAGCTTACAGTAGAAAGCCCGATTTCCTTGGAGTCTATTTCCTACGCAGGCTAGCAAGTTTTTCAAGTCTTAACTATGCTTTTCCTGTATGGCCAACCACTGTCGTAATATTTCTGGCGATGTTCAAGTTTTTGTAAGATCCGTGGGTAGCATCATCATCATTGCACGAGAAAGAGCCTGGCTTGTATCGCCGAAGAGCCGGGCGTGGGGAAACTCATTAGTTTATCATATTTACCGTATTTTTATCAACCAATTAGCTATATATTTTCACCTGTCTCGTTATGTGTGAAAATGTCGGAAGGCTTGGCGCCTTCGGGTCTGCCTGGATTTTCCTGAAAAGTGACAAGCTACAGCAAAAATGATAAATCAGTTTCCAATAAACTTTTGCCGCAGTCTGTAGAACTTCTCCACCGTTACATGAAAAAGAGGAAAAGCTTTTAATGAGTTCCCCCGTAACATGAAAAGTAGTATGTAATTGAACAACATGTAAAACGCGGTGGAAAATGGAACACTCTTTTAAGTCTCTGTAAAATTCCTGGTGCCAAACAAATAACATAAATCATTATAAAGATGACATGCCTTGGTACGTGACGCTTGCCAGGCCGAGTAATTCCGAGTCAGTTTCTTAGTGTTCTCGTGTTGTTAACTTCTACTAAAGTTTGATTCCTAGGTCAAAACGTCGATTACCAAATGCATCAAACTTTGCAGTTAAACCTACTCAGAGGCCAGGGCCTTAATCCGAAAATCTACCAATGGCGTGTAGTTTTTCGGGGAAGGATGTTTATACTGTTAATCCAAACAAACCTTTTACCAAGGTGCTACAATTGACATATTTTATTAATTATCGTCAACAAGAGGTGAAAATCTGATTAAAAATGGATGCCAAGTGACCGATCATTGGGGGTAGATTCCAGTTTTAAGTGTATTCCGAAGAGTAATGGAATTAATGTCAAGGCCTTGGCTCGTTTGCGTCTATCAGGGATCTGTGTAGTACAATTCATAGAAAGAAACCACTTCTTTTTCTTTTCTTTTGGACATTCGCTTGTCAAGAAATTAAAACACACATTTTTTGTTGCTGAGAGGGGATCTCCGATTTCCGGTGACCTCCGAAAGAGCTGAAAAAGAAATACAAATATATGTACCTACTAATACTTGCCCCTTGGAAATTCTGTTGAAAAATATACCATGTACTAGATCCAGTTTTTCCATTTCATTTATTTACCGCTGTTTGCGGACCGAAATTAAGCTTGATTGACACGGAAAACTTTAATCAATTGTTGTTTGTTTATTTAAACGAGCAGCGTGTTTTTCTTGACAGAACTTGGCATTCCATTAGAAGCTATCAAAATATAACAAGTGTTACAAAGAGTTCTCTGAAGGAACCTTCCATATCAATCATGTCGCTTTATTTGGAAAATTTGATTATGTTACGGCTTTTCTCAGTTTTTATAATTATGACCATCCTGTGACCTAGAATCGTTTAATGGGAACGATCGTCCTTTTGCATCCAAAAGGTCAAGATACTGTATCATTTTGAAACCAAGAAAGCGACTTAAGACGTAGATGTGTAAAATATAGTTTTAATATGCACGCTGAAAACCCTTGGATATTCTGTTCACGATCGCTGCAACAATTTCTGATCAGCAAAATAACAATTCGCCCGGCCGCCCCTGCAGGCCAGTCCAGGATGCAGTCAGGCAGACGATTGTCCATGAAACCCATCAAACATGATCATGATGCCCGTCAAACATGAAGCCGGTCTCCTTAGTGGAAAGTAAAGTAAATTTGGAATAAACTGATAGGTCTTATGTACTCTTTTTTTCTATGTTGGAAATCATTTAATTTTCGTGTCAAGAGAGACAACGTCCTTGCTGGTGAATGGATTGGTCGATTGTTTTCAATATCCTGACAGCGCGTTTGACGAATTTGTCCAGAAATGGCGAAAATATGCTGCTATACAACAATGATTAGTACCTTTTGACGACAAAATTCCCCTGATTTAACGTATCGTATGATTTATTCGTACACTGAGACCACACAGATTTCGTAAAGCAGAGTTCTTTATTACCAAAACAGGGCCCGGCGTGAACTGATTGCATTTACAAAGAAGGTCAAAAACATTTGGATGAACCCCAATACGATGTACGTAAGCTCTGGGCAAACTTCACGTGAAAAATCGTTGGTACTTGATCATTAATCATAATAATATTGCCATTTTATCATTTCTACAAAACATCAAATCTTTTCCGAAAATTACGAAGGGTCATAATTACAGAAGGAGGAATGAACTATGAAACTCTTAAACTAGTTAGTATTTGATTCGGCTTTCTTCGACCAGAGCCGGACCCTACAGCGGTTTCTTCTTCCGAAGTGTGAAGAACCAGATTACTTCTAAATTGAAAGGAATAACTCCTCATTAAAAGATATTGTTTTCACACCTTTGAGGATGCCACAAGGATCCTAAAGTATTAAACTGTAGACATGCTGGCGACCGAGGTGAGAAATACGCAGCGCAAACTAAACAGTTGGATTTGCTTGCTTGTTTTCTAGAAACATTCCCTTTTCAAAATTGGCGAGGTATAAATATCGAATTAGTTTTTAATGTTTATCTAGAAAGAGAGAGAAAAGGAAAAAAGAACAGTTATCGCGTGTAATGAATTTTCCTTCAATAGAGGAGTTCTTGTTATGGGTGTTCCTTCCAAACAGAAGTGTTCCCGTTGAATCAGAAAACCATTAGGTTGCGGTTCGGTTGTAATCGTTCCGTATTGCATTCTCATGCATAAAAATTTAAAAACCAAGTAACGTAAACTTCAAAATATAATACAAACATCAAAGCCGCTCAAATTGACCAACCAGAGCCAAAGTGGAAAAGAAAAGGTGTACTACTCACAGGGACGCCATTAAAGCAGAGTGTTCTAACAACCTTGTTCCTGTGCCCCACACAGATGAAGAAGTCACTGTCCAATAAATAAATAAATAAAACTTTGTAGTGTTTATCAAGAAATGTGAATTTGGTTCTGTGGTCTGTATCTGTTACCATGAATCGGGATAGGTACAACAAGCTTTGGAGCGTGAAGTTTTCTGTTGCCGTGAGCCTGAGGTCCGCCCAGAGTTCTTACTCGCTTCCATTTCGCTCGTCTGTTTTGAAACCATATTTTTACTTGAACTTCACTCAGTTTCAATGTTCTTGCAATCTGTGATCTTTCTTCAAGCGAAAGATACTTTTTGGTGTGAAATTCTCTTTCAAGTTCTAAAAGTTGCTGGCTTGTAAATGCCGTCCTTTTCCGCCGTGATTTGGATCCTCCCTCGCTGTCAGAATTTTGATCTCCTTGTTCATATTCCAACTCGTCGCTTCCACTCGGTGAGCTTGGACTGGGCTGGCTGTCGTCCCCTGGTGCACAATAAATGAAAAACAAAGAAGAGAACTCAGCGCACTGTGTTTAAGTTTATAAGAAGTATCTGCCATTCGTTCAATCGGTGGGAGCTGAACTACAAAAGTCGGTTAGAATTTAAAGTACATGTTAAGAGAAATAAAGATGTTTTGAGACATAAAGCGTTAAAAGCTGGTCCTACTAAATACAGAGAAGCTAAAACTTCGATTCTTAGTAGTTGCAATTTCCAGCCCCACTTTCAGACAGTAAAGTGATGAACAGTAACCGTTTACGATCAGAGTTTTATGACGACGGCGTTTGTATCCACAGGACCTTCGACCAGCGTTTTTTTTAATTGCAATTAGAAACATTTTTTCTTGCAACGAATCAGGTAAAAGGATGCTTACTTACCTAACAGAACCGTAGAAGACTTGTCGGATAAGTTATCTCCATGAAAGTGCTTGCTGAATTTTTCTTGTCCCGGTCTACAGTTGGGAATGGCCTCCTCCAAGTAATAATCACCCTGAGAAGTCAGCTCAACCAAGCACTGCATTGCACTGAGTGGACCGCGGCTTAAAAGGGTTTTACCGTCATTGTTTTTTTGTTTTGGAGGGTCTGTTCTGGAAATGATCGAATCTATAGAAAAAGAAATTGAATTTTGCATTGTTAATGACGCCCGTCGTTTTCTGCGTGTATTCACGAGCGAACACGAATTACTGACTGGCTGAATCGGTATTGTTCTTTATCGGATTACGGTCTCTTTCTAGCAGACGTTACTAATTACAAGGGCTGAAATGATAGACGTCAACTACTTTTATCCCATTGGTTGATAAGTTCTACAACGACAGACGTGAAAGGTTCATCCACTCAAGTTACCCCAGTGTGCGCACCATGACAACATTTAGTGGAGTGCTAAAGGTCAATTGCAAATAAACCAAGGATAATTTTTTAAGTAATTAATCATGGGTAAGGAAATGTTATATCTTTCAAAAATTAAAATGTCAGTTTCATTGTTCCTTGATGACTTGGGCGGTCGTTTAGCTTTTGTCCACCAATAGAATGTTGAGAAGAATACATGCGTTTGACAGACCAGACGAAGCGTATCTCAAGTGGCAAGCGTTTACGAGGGCAAGTGGCGGCTGTGAACCTCTTTGAACAACGAAGGATATCGGAAAAAGACTTCTCTATCACAACATAGTTAGTAGAGGGGATTAACTATGATCACAAGTTCATTCTAAAAACAGTTTTTGTCCGAATAGACAACACGCTGAACACTGAAATTCCTGTTCTGCTGCTAACCGATTGTCTTTTAATTTGTCTTTTAAAATTTGCGAAACAATGGTATAAATATCTTTACAGCAACTTTTTTCCCCGTATATCATTTTGTCAGCTTTATTTTGTTTATGCGCAAAAAAGTGAGATACACTGTGTACATGTCCCTCGGCTAAGTATGCGAGTTGTCTTTTTACACCTCGTTAAAGTGAACTTCCGTCATGTTTGATCATGAAATTTTTCCACTGACAAGGAAGGAAGTAAGTTTCATTTCAATTTACTTTGAGGTTTTTGGGGGTGCCTTTGTTTTTCCTGCTTTCTAATCCTTTAATTTTAAGTCAGTGTTCGTCAATTCAGTTATGAGAAAATTTTTAACCTTTTTTCATGACTAGAAGAACTGGACTTGACACGGACTTTCCCAAACCCACTTTCATGCTTAGAGTTAAAAAACGTGGTCATGAGCGATTACAGTATTGCATGTGCACTAACCAAAAATAATTCCAGTACCACAAATCGTTCAAACTTATATCGCACGGAGTCGTTTTTTATTTTCGACAGACGAGAATCGTGCGAAGTGGACGAAGACGATTAACACCAAGAATTTAATATCTGGCTGTCAATTAAACGTGTATGATAGTTGTCACAAAAGGTGTGAAAAGTTGTTAAAAACGGCGCCTTCGGGTCTGGTAGCCCTCGAACAAAGGAAGTGAATTCAGATTAGCTGGTCACACGCTGTTTCTTTGGGTAATTTTGAAGATTTGATGAAATGCATCGTTTATCGTGTCTAATATATACATCAGAGAACCGTCAGCGTTGATTTAATAATCTCTTAAGCCGTTGCAGGAAGAATATCTGCATGCTTGTACTATGAGATACCAACCTGCGTAGCAGGCGCTTGGAAGTGGGCTTGGAAGAGCAGTGGGCTGTGAGATACTCGGGCGCGATCCATTCAATCAAAACTTCCGAAAATTTCGGTTCAAAACTCATTGGATCGATTTGGTAGGAAAAGTTTCGAAAAAACTGGTCCACCTTTTGAGGTGGACTACTTTTCCCGGTCGGACCGGTCGGAATTTTCGTTGAATGGATCGCGCCCGGAGTAAGTCAATCGATAAAAATCGGTATCGATTTATCAATCGATATATCGATAAAAATCGGTAAATCTAATTTGATTGATATCGACTGTATCGATCAATCGGTAGAAGTCGATGACACCCTCGTTTCGTTTATCGATTTATCTTGATTTTTACCGATTCCATCGATTTATTTCGGAAGATACATCAGTTCCTCCAAAAACGAAAATTGATTACATGCAAGCAGCAAATTTGTTAGCCTGCGTAGCAAGCGTTTCCTCGCGAGGTTCGTCTAGAAAGCTGGGGCAAGAGCAAAAACTTTCGCGCAATAACTCGATTGGAAACGCTTGCTACGCAGGCTAATTTGTTGACAACTGAGTTGCAATTGAGTGAAATTGAGAGTCGAAGGATCAAACAATTATCACTTTTTAACAAAATCTTTTTTTAAAAAAATCTGAAAAATCTTATCTTTTCTTTAAAACCAGTTTTAAAATCATCTTCTGATGGCTGGTATTGGGCAGTTTTTCAATATAACGTCGGTGTAGTTCCGGGTGTAGTTGCATCCCGGAGTAGCCAATAGATAAAAATCGAAATCGATAAAAATCGCTAGATATTTATAACGGAAAACGGTGAAAAACTGAATACCTAGGAAAATCTTTCGGCTTGAATTTCGGACATCCCTTTGACTCCTTGGAAATCTTTATCTAGGGTTGTACTGAATGTAATTAAACCGAACCGTTTTTGTTATTGTGTACAAAATAAAGGGTCTTAGAGAGAAACTTGTGGGTGTGATAGTTTTCACATTTCTCATTTTCATGTTTGTTGATCAGTTGTTACTCGTGGATGTGTTTTCTCAGCTAAATATCTAATTTATGCGCCCCCAAAAAACAATGGCGGACTTCCGTTATAAATCGTTAAAATCATGAAAAATCGATAATATCGATTTGACATAGCAATTTAGTTTATCGATTTTCACCGATTTCCATTATCAATCAATAAAAATCACTTGATTGCTTCCGATTTTTATCGATTGACTACTCTGGGTCTACTACTGCTAGCCTGGGACCAGGCTCCGCATAGGGGGGAAAAGGAGTAAAAAATCGGTGTGGGCCAAAAAGAAAAGTTTCGAGTGAAGCGAGCAGAGAGGTAGTCGGGAAGGGGAAAGGGTGGTCTGCAGTCTGCCCCCTCCCAAGGCCTTCGCTTGCCGACATATTTCCTATTTGACCAGGCTGCGAGCCTGGTCCCAGGCTACTCTGACTCACTACTGCTGATACACTTACAAGACTACCAAAAACAAACACTGTGTAAACAGACTATCATAATGATAGCCTGCGATCGTGTAATAATCTAATAAGCGCTAACGCTCTAATCCTTAATAAGCGCCACTCCTAACCTGCGTGAGAAGCGTTCGAAAGCGGGAAGGGGAAGGTACCGTATTTCTTCGAATAATAGCCGGGGGCGATAATTTCTTTTTTCGCACAAAGAGGGGGCGATTATTCGAGGAAGGCGATTATTTCAAATATTGCTCACTGGAAGTCGTGCCCTAAATATTTTGTTTTATTTTCCCATTAAATCAAAAAATAGTCACGTCAAATAAACTGAACATGGGCTTTTTAAGTGTTCCAAAATAAGTTCGTGAAATTTTGAATCGTCACTGATCAGTTTTGCTGAATCTCATTGCACTTCAAGTCCTTCAACTTGACAGGGAGGGGAAAAAAGGAAGAAAGATGGCGAAAGGGGCGGGGGAGGGGTGATTATTCGGAGAGGCGATTAATCGAGGGACGGCTATTATTCGAGGAAATACGGTACTCCCTCTCGAATCAGCACCCCCTCCCCTCTCTCCTTATATATAGGGATGCAAGGACAACCTGCAGCTGTTTCCGTTGCCACTTTATTATTGCTTCAACTTAATTATCATTCATACTGATACATCTCTGTGTACGGTAGACTTTGATAGATAGATTATGCTCGCAAAAATAGTCTGCTCATTATATGCTACTAAGAGTGCTCGTACATTTCTGAATTTCTAACATTTTGCCAAGAAATTACGCTAGCTTTTGGACCTTTTGTAAAATTTGTTCATTTTAACAAAAAAATACAGAAATTATGCTTCTACCTCTTACTTTAAATTTGGTAAAAGCACCTCAATAACTATGCAACAAACAAGTAAATGGCAAGCACATTAACCCTTCTAGAAACCGTTAAGAGTCCATTATTCCTTGTCTGACAACTGTAAAAACTCACCGGACGCCATCTTTGGTAACAGAGATAATTTATATTCACATGCCTTGAGTGATTGAGTCATGTGCAAGGGTTCTTGATCACTTCTTGCGTAGCCTGAGTATCAGGCGTTTCTGGGGAAAAGGGGAAAAATGAAAGCGAAAAAGGAAGAGAGGTGAAGGAGAGAAACGCCTGACACAGATGCTTTTACTGGAGCCTTCCACCCTCACACAGCATGATACGATACCATCCAATCAAAATCACTTCCGGTCATTGGGTTGTCAGCTTCACGTGTCAAAAAGCTTGCCTAAAATAAATCTCACTTAACGCTCTGACCGAGCATCGGTGCTTGTGTTGCTACGATTTCGCTTTTTTCTGAAACCTTCAATGAGGAGTTTTCGAATACTTGTAATGTAAAACCTGCCGTTTATGAGGAATTATAACAGGCTTTAGGAATTGTGCTAGTGTAAGATCGCCAACGCTCTGTTTGTAAACAAACGTGTGCCCGGAAAGTTGTAAATTGCTTTTGTTTACGGAGTTAAATCAGGCGCTTGTCTGGCAGCTAAAAAGCTGGTGTTATCCCCCGTATTCTCGGGTGGTTGAAAGGAGCTGCAAGAATATATAGGCAGGTGCGATGGTGAAACACCTATGCCTAGAAATTATCAAGCAGCAGCAGATTCCACCACTTCACAGAGAGCTCGTGAAAGCTGTTACAAGTTCAAAACAAGCGAGAGCTTATAGCAAAGGTCAATCCCGTTGGCGAAATATGATGGCGCCCGCTTGAGCTTAAGACGTTTCAAAAGTGAGAAAATTTTGGAAGAGGAAGCAAACGAATTCCAATCACGTACGTTATTGTAACCGCAACAAGCAAAGTCAAGCTTTTTAAAAGCATTGGTGCTGTCGGCTATCCCCGCGGCTATCTCAATACATGGCTACCTCGCTCCATTTTCATTTACAGTAACAATACCCTTTTAACGGCAGGATGTTGTAAATCTGAATTTAGATAACTGAAACACTGATATCGTCTTCTTTGTCCACAGGCAGCCCAAGCGCACTATTTGTGGGTTCGGGCTTCAGAGGTCATTTGGTGGGAATATACTAG